AATGTCTCTCCCAAGGACTCTTACCAACAGGATCACGCTTTTCACTTTCTTTTCAGCAGAATCAACGTGGTAAGGGCTCTTTGTCCTCTCACAGTGAAGAGGCAGTCTCACTTTGTATGTGAACTTCCACTTGTCCTGAGGCTCTTAGTGGATTGGGAATGCTTTTCTTTTGCCTACAGGAAGGATATTACATTATCTCATTACCTCCAGCAATATATGGCTTTGGGGCATTGGCTGTTGAAAATTATCACACCTTTCTGAAGAATATTTATTGTTGCACCTTTTTGGAGATCCACTGAAGTAATTAGTGGATCTCCAAGAAGTTTTGTCTGTATGTATTTTCCCTTTTGCCTTGTAATCTCGAGTGGAAAGCATTTGGGAATCTGAGTTTGAAAGCAGCTGAGGATTTCTTAAAGCATGTATCTTCCACTTGGGGACAGAACATTAGGATACACGGTGCGAGTGCACTTGTGTGACCATATCCAAGGTAAAAAGCCTTCCATCTCAAAGAATTTTTTACAATAGTGCAAACTTGTTGATGTATAATCTATCTCAAACAGCCTCTAAATACTTCTTCCTTTTCCTTTCAGTTGTTAGATAAAGAGTAGGAACTGAAAAAGTTCATGCACACGTTTTCAGATAAAAGCTTTTCCAGTTGTGCTTTCTCCTAGATACACATGCATGCTCCATGTAACGTGTAAGTCGCTAAAAGGAATATGGTTAGTTGATTCTTTTTTTTTTTTTTAAACTGATTGCATCTAGTATATGCAGGTCTTATTCTTCAACAGTTTCTAGCCTGAAAAGTTGGTGGCTCACCAAATTCTAAAGAGAAGAACTCCCTCCCCCAATAAAGAAAGGCAAACCCTCAGTCAGCAGTAAAAAATAAAAACAAGTTAAAGTGCCTGCAAGAAGGTCGTTTAATAACTTCAGGAATATGAAAGAAATGTGCATTGGCATATGTTTTGTTTACAGGTAATGGGCATCAAATAATACAGTCTTTGGTGCCTTCATAATCTAAAAATCCATCAGGCTAATGGAGTATTTTATCTACTGTCAGTGCTGCACTTATGTGCTCAGTTCAGAGTCTTCCTCTTCCCACTGCACCTTAATTAGTATATTAACTGATGTTGCTAAAACTCATTATGGATGGTTTGTTCACTGTTCTTCGTGTTTTCAAATAAGACCTGTGTAACTGCTTTTGTAGTACTATCTTGGAAATGTTTGGAGAGAATGATTACGAATAGACATGTTGCATTGAGTAGTACAAGTTGAACAAATATGCTTTTTTCACGTGGTAAAAAAAAAAAAAGATTGAAAAACTTGATGGCTTAAACTTCTGTTAGAGCTGATTTCAGTCAGACCAGTCTCCAAGAAAGCTTTGTCTTTGTCCTGACAAACTTTGCTCTTCAGAAAGAATGATTTTCTGACTGAGAGGAATCATTGGCTCTTCATTTTGCAATTTCATTTCTTTTTGAAGTTGCAGTGTGCTTGGGCTTGAACTCCCTTTAAGGGAAGCTAGTCACTCTCAGGGAATACAAAAAAAAAAAAGTGATGTATTTGTGTAGCTTATATTGCTTAGGGGAGAAATGGCAGTAATAAAGGATTTTTGCTATTTGAGAAACCTTCAAGATGTGCATGATGCTTTCAGAAAAGGAAGGGGATAGGTGTTCTCTGAGCTAGGGCTTGATTTTCTAATGGGTTATAGGCATTTAGTATTGATGAAACTGCTTGTCATCCTTATTAGTAACATTACAGCTTCAAAAGAGACTTCAGGTTCTCACATCCCCTGCCCTATGCTTGGAAACATTACACATGCACACACACCCCGCCCTGTTTGACTCTTTCATTTGATTTCTTTGGATTTTTGTATTTTGGATTTGTGTTAAGGAGATCTTTTCAGGAGCTGGTGAGGAAACTACTAACATTGAATGTACTGATGCTTGAGACCATGCTAATGATTTACTGTAATCTGGATTGTCTTTTGGGTGGAACAGGTGTAAACCTAATCACTTACTGAGATTGAACGCTTTTTCTTATGCATAAGCTACATGTAGAAAAGTCATGCCACTTATATGCCAGGAGAAGAAGATTCTACACATTTTCTAATGGAAACAAAAGATTTGCTAATGTTGATCAAGATGAAGGGCAAATGACTAAATTCACTGTTGGTGTAGCACTGTAGCATGAATTCCAAATACCCAGCAGAAATGTAACACAATAAATGTATTTATTCTAAAGTAGCCAAATACTACTTTCTTTAACTTTATTGATTTTTAAAAGACATCTGATGTAAATAATACAGACCTCTGTTTGTTTGTTGTTGTAAAGTGGCTTAACATAAATTCCTAATGCTTATATCCTTGGTTTGCTGCTTGTGCAGTGAGAATACTGTTATGGATTGGGCCATCACCAGGGAATACTTAGAGCTGAGGAATCAGGAGGGGAAGCGTAAGTTCAGAAACAGTTTTCCCTCAATGTATATAAAAAACCCCTATGGCTGTTGACTTCAAATAAAAGAGAATACTTGTGGATTAAGAGATCCTTCCCAACCTAAATCTGTTTTGTCAGAAAGAGCCATGCTTTATTACTGTTCTAATCTTCAATGTGATCTGGTAACATACACATAATTTGTCCCCAGGTGCTGATCTCCTACATCGAGCCATTGGCACAGCTTGGTTTAGAATTCATTCTCCTATTTTGAGCAGAGGGTTGGACTGCATGGTCTCTGGAAACCTCTTCCAACCTAAATTAATATTCTGTGACACAGTTTATGTCAAGGACTGGATTTGTACTGAGATGTTTCAGCCAGTGCAACTGGGAAACGGGATAAAAAATTATTTTAAGCTGTCTCTGTATCTGCCTTGCACATCAAGACAGGGACAAAAAATTTGTTGCTTACAGCAGAGAACTCAATCTTAAAACTGTTACTGATAAACACGAGCTATGTATCGCACATGTTTGCAGTGGATCCCAAGAAATTAAAAGTAGAGCTTTTCTGGAAACTGTGAAATGAAGTTGGAAAACCTGAGGAATCGTATAGCAAAGAGAAAAAGCTGCTGAGAGTATTTATTTTGTCCTAGTGGAATGGCTTATATTGCCTATTCTTTTTTTTTTTTTTTTAACCTTTGAAATGTTACTGCTTTAGGCATTGAGGAGCTCTTTAAGAAATAGATCAATAATACTTGCACTGAGCCTTGTAGAGTGCTTCTTTTTATATATGGATGGTGTATTAATGCAGTGTGAATGAATGCAGTGTTACATTCACTGCATTGGGATACACAAGCAGTTTAGTGACTGGGGCAAAGAAATTAAAATATTCAAACCAATGTGAATTAGTTGTTGTAACCAATATTGAAAAATCCTGACCTTCGATCCAAAGAAAAATAACTGATTTTTTTGGAGGGGAGGGAATAGTGTCTTTTAGAGTTGTGTTATGATGATACCAAATGATACGATGATAGAGATATCTGTAGGTAACTTAAAGCTGAAGAGTCAGGAGGGGAAGCATAGGATCAAAACTCGTTTTTCTCAAATATTACATTAAAAAAACTCATGGCAGTTTACTTCAAATAAAAGAGAATACAGCTTGAGTGCATCTATGAAAATCAGATTTCTTCAGTCTTAAACCTTATTTTTTATGTGGACAAGTTAACACATCACACAGGAGGGGAACCAGTGAGTTGTATTGGAATACCAGGAATAGGTTCATAAAGTATTTATAGGTAGGCACAGGTGTACATGGAGGGCCATGCATTCTAGCCCTCATCCTCTTCAGAAAGTGTCTGTCTTAGTCCCTTCTGAATTTTGCATAGGAAAAGTAATTACTTTGGCTATGCACTTACTAATTCCTTGTAATTATTTACATCATTTAAGTTAAGAATAATAAAAATGTTTTGTAATAGATCATTATTGAACTATTGTTCTTGCTCAGAAATAGTGTCCTAAAATGTTGATAAATGAAGATTTGCTTTTATTTTGCAGCAGCTGGAGTATAGAAGTCATTGCATGAGTTTCGAATAATTACAAATTAACTGTGCATATCTATGTTTATATCTGTTTTGGTATTTGCAGCACTACAGAGGTCTATTTCTCAGGAAGTTCTTGATCTACATTAATATTGCTGTGGTAGATATGTAATACAGCTACTTCAGTGAAGGCTATGAAGACTTAACAAGTGTGTAGTAGTTTCTGTGAGGACATTATATCACTTCAGTAGAATGAAAAGTTCTACTGGATCCCAGTATCCCAGCCCATCTTGTGCCTTTGTCAAGCCTGTCTGTTAGAGCCTGTTGATGCTGAGTTGCAGTGAGCTGAAGTGAGTGCTCTTTATCCTTCATATCTTCAAACTTGTTGAACTGTGGAGTGTTACGGAAAAGCTTTTTTTCTTTAAAGGAAGCTAGGAAGCTGTATCTCCATGGTGTTTAGTGAAGTAAAACAGAAAATAGACTTGTTCTTTCACAGATTTCAAGTTTCCTTACACATTTTCAGTGTAAGTTGCACTGGTCTGACTATTTCAGTAGAAAATCGTACCACTGGTAAAAATAATGATCTGTGGATAGCTCAGGGTATAAATCGTTCTGTGTTTCATTACAACAAGTCAAGGCAAATGTTATTTGACCTTTAAGGTCTTAAAAGTAAGTTCAAAAAAAATTAAAAGCTGGACATAGTTTGAAGAGCTCTGAAAAATTAACAGGTACGATCACAAGCAATCTATCTGAAGCCTTAGGATCTTACTTTGAAATTTCCTGATGTTACCTAAACATCGTTCTGCAGCTATTAGGTGCTGAACCTAAACTGGGGAGAGGTCATGACATTCCTTGTTACTGTCACTCGTTTCCACAGCTCCCCCCCGCCCCCCCCCGCCGTGTTTCCTTGTTCAAATGTGTTCTTTGACAAATTAATTTCCCCAAATAATGAAGGTTTTGTAGCAGAGTTTTTTGGCAAGTTTGAGAGTCTGGGGCTGAATGCTTGCTTACAGAACTTTTGTTTGTTTATTTAAGGTTGCTAATCTTGCTTGTTCATTGTCAACAAATGAAGATGGAATGAAAATTGTCCAAATGGCAGCTAATCACATAGAGACTTTGTGCCCACAGGTATGACTTTTTCCATTAATTCCCATTACAGTGCACTGAGCATACACTGTATTTTTGTCCCGCAACACGGATATTTAGTCATGCTCCTTCAGTCTACATTCACATTCCATTCACGCAGCTTAGTGCAGTAAGTGGAGACCAAATGATAAATCAAGGGCAAATAGTTAATTTGTTTATTTTTTCTTAGTGGTTAACATAGGAATTGTTAATCTATATTGATTGGGAGTTTTAAAAAGCTGTAAAAATTGCAATTGAAGAAACATGCTGCTCTGTTTCTGAAATTAAACCTGATTGAATGAGGAGTTAACATGGTAGGCAAATTGGGAAGATTTTTACTCTTAGAAAGCAATATATATATTTTTACCTTTAACTTGAAATACTGTTACCACTTGATTTGGTTTTTGTGTATGTGAATGTTAAAGTGTAAATTCTTCTGATTATCACCAATTCAGAAGCTTGAGCTTTTGTCTTAAGCAAAGGAATGAAAAACAGCACAGCTACAGATGAATTTTTGGTACTTAATATCTTACAAAAAGTGTATTCACTCTGTATTAGTCACACTTAGAATTACAGAGATAAAAAATTCTCCAGTTACATCTGTTTAGAGCAAAGATTTTACTGGTTTGTGTGAATCTGATCTGAGTGTTTCAGCCTTGAGGCTGCATAATTTGAATATCATTAGTTCTTTGAAGAACACTAGAGTTTACACAGTGGCCTAAATATTCTTACCCTTTTGTGTGTTTGAATGCTAAATGTAGTTGAAATAGGTGAAGAGCAAATATTAATAATATGTTCCGTTACAAACTTGAAGAGTCCGTTTTATGCCTGTTGAGTAAATGCAAGACTTGAAGAAGAAGAAACTTCTATCAAGGAGTTGTCATATTCTGAAAATATCAGAGATCAGTGTTTTCTCTTGAATCATTGAGTTTCAGTGTCTGTTTTTATAACTTCTACAGTTCTGTGTTTCACATCCCACTCTATTTGATTTAATGCGTTACTGGTTTTGGAAGAAGATTGCTGGCTTGTAAAAATAATTCATGAATAGCTTCTTCCAGCTTCTTTGTTTCTCCAGAGGTACAACTGCACCTTTCTAATACATTATTATGCATCCAGTTGTAGCTTCTTAATTGAAAACCAACACTTCCAGTATTGCATCTGATACCAGAAACTCCTAAAATCTAATTTTGACTAAAATATTGATTTTCTCCACAGCCATTTAAGTTGCTAGGGTTTTGATTTCCTATAGTAAAATGGCAGTTTCTTGTTTGGGGTTTTTTTCCCCTCCTTTTTTTAACCTTTAGGTAAACCAGGGGTGAGCGAGTTGATGATTATAGATGTGTCTAAACAGAGAATGTAGTATGCGCATGATAAGATCATATTACTATTAACGGTGTGTTCATTGTGCAGGATTTGCTGCTTTCTTAGATAAGGACCATTCCCTGCGAAAGCAATTGGCATTTTACCTAAGTAAGAAATAGCAGAATAAGGCTCCTGCTTTTTTCAGTAAATCAGATTATGCTATATCATTTAAAAATTCTCCACAGGGAAAATAATTCTCTCTTAAAATCCCTGCAGGGCATATCAGTTAGAGTTTGGAATGGGGAAATTTGCATGTAGAACTCCCCAATGTTTTTAAATCTTTAGAGTAAAAAAAAAAGGGATTTTATGTGCTCTGAAAAATACATTTCTTGAAAGGAACCACGTGGTTGGGATTGAAATCTGAAATGGTTGAATTAAAACAGAAAAAAAACCCAACGCACTAAAAAAACCCTACACACCCTGCAACGCCCCTAAACACACTAACCAAAAAGCCAGCAGTGAAATCAACACCTAGAGAAAACACCTTGGAGTCTTGGGAGTTCTGTAGATTTGACCAGCGAAACTTCCCATGTAGCACTGGGGAAAAGCCAGATACAGAATTGTCAAACCCTGGAGGAAAGCCTTTTAATTGTTAGAATTCATAGATGTGTTTATGTTATATTAATTATACTGTACTGTAGTTAAAATATAGAGGGTTGATTCTGAACTCTGACCATATTTTATTTCTCAAGTGAGATTATTAGCAAATATTTTGACTGTTCAATAAATGAAATAAGCTAGGCATGTATGTTAGAGCTGATACAAAACACGTAATACCTGTTGTTCCTGAAATTTCATGAATACTTCATGAGAAATGACTTTTAAGAATATTTAATGTTAAATCAATAATAATGAATAGAATAAAAAAGTAAAATGCTGCTAGCATATGTTTTGATGAAGGAAGAATTATTTGTGTTCATGTTAATAGCTTTTGGTTGGGAGAATTTTCTTGAGCGTTGTCAGGTGGGCAAAATCTACAATGTCACTTGTTCCATGTGGGAGTCCATGTTACTTTCCTGGTGTGCAGATAAAATCATGACCTCATCAAATGCATGAGAAAGAAAGAAAAGGAAAAGAACCCACAAACGCAAACAAACTTCCATTTTTGAACAGCAAGGATATATATCTGTAGAGCTGTTTTGCTAATGCAAATCTTGGGATTGTTACCCTTATGCTTCAGTTCAGTGGCATGTTCGAAGAAGTGTCTGTTTCCTATAATAGTCCTCTGGAATAGGCAAAGATACCTAATAGAGAGTAAACCTGTCAATATAGAGGTGGAAAGATATCCTAAATGTAGGAAACCAGAGATTAGCAGACAAGGATCTGGCTTCTCCGTCTAAATTCTTGATAGTTTTTTACATTTGCACAGGATAATCAGCTCTCATGTGGTTCAACAAGTATGTCTCGGATGCCAGGCCAACAAGAGGAGGAACAAGGAAGAAAAGACCCAGAAAAACCTGTGTGTTTTTGTATAAGGAGGATCTAGCCTGTTATTTGACCTGGCTTCTGTGTTAGTACTGGGTCCTGTTTCCTTACCTCCATTTTAAGGTAGGTGTGTGGTTTTGCTGGGTTGGTGAGCTCTCCTGAGGGATAAGCTTGAGGAATAAGGATGCTGTCTGCAACAGGCTGTGAAGGAGGGAGGAGATGAGAAGGAAGCCATTGATCAGCTTTTAGATGGAGTTGAAGACCTTAGGTCTGTGATTTAACCTGGGATAAGGATACAGTGTTGGGCAAGAGCAGAGAAGGAAGATTGAACAGTAGCTGAGGTAGGTGACAGTGTTTCTCTGCTCTGTCTTTTTCTTTTCTCTGTCAGAAACACACACAGTGGAGGTGCTGTGGTGCACATAATGAGAGATAAGGACATTTTCCTCCCTGAGGGAGTGGAAACCAGGGAGTGCCAAGAGCATTAATGCAAATATATCCTGAGCTGATATTTTTGAGGTGAAGAATGACCTTGAGCCTAAAGCTGGAACAGATGTTTCAAAGTGGAGATCAGAAGTGGCTAGTCTCAAGGGAGCAGCTGGGAAGAGCTTCAGCATGTCAAAGGGCTCTGGCTAGAGCCTTTTTATTAGCGTAAAGATCCCTGGAGAGTTTTAAGGAGCAGGAGGTTTGGGCTTCTTTTGGAAGAACCATAGCTGAAAAAGCAAATTTTGGGCTCATTTCTTTGAAGATTCTCATCTTGGTAGAGCTTGCTGCTAGTTACCAAAATGGCGCAGGGTGATTAGTTCTGCAGTGGGCCACGTCCATTCTGGTACATCATGCAAGGAAGCAAAATGCAGGAAAAAGACATGAATGTTCATAGTTTAGCTTAATCTTTATTTGGTGATAAATAGATTTTTAAAAATCATTCAATCCCATGCAGTATTTTTTTCTGATATTTTAAAAAAGACAAGGTATGCACTGGTATAGCCAGAACCTGCGGTCTTAGTATTTTTAGTGAGTTCTGTTTTTCTCGTAAGTATTGAGAGAGAGATGGAAACCATCTAGTTATAAAGCTATTAGGTGAGAAGGAAATCTATGTAACAGGAAATCCATTAGAGGTTGAGTTGCTCTTTGTGTTTAAAAAATAAAAATGGAGATGAGGGAAAATAGCCGTAGGAAAAAATAAAAGTGTGCATCTTGAGCAATTTTAAATGTCTATGAAGCTGTCACCTCATTTCTCTTGTTAACTTGCACCTACCAGGAATATATGAGAACCTAAAGCAGATATTACAGCATATTTCCGAACTAGTTCCTAAGTTGCTGGAGGAAGTTTGCAAAGACATAAAAGTCCTTCTTTATAGCTAGCTATTGTTGATCCAAAATGTATTATGTGGAAGATGCTGATTCAATGGATGTGAAATGCACGCTGAGCCGCTTAAATTCGCGTCACTTCTGATATGAAGCATACATGCTCAGATAGCGATTATGGTTCTGAGAACGTTGTCTGCCTGAGTCTTATCTTCGTATTCAAGCTGCTGGAGCCATTGGCTAAAAAGTAGTGGCCATTACACATCACTGTGTACATGTGATGAAGAGCAAGTGCCTTGTGGTAGGCGAAAAACTTTGTCACAAGCAAGACAGAGTTACAACCCATAGTACATTTGGATACTAGGGTTTATTTAGGAACTAGGGAGATCAGTTTTTACCCTGCTTCCTGATACCACGTGCTCACTCATTTGTTTTCCCCACAGTGTTGTTTTCACTAGGTCTCAACTTTCCTTCCTAGCAGGGAGATGGCTGCTAGTCCAGGAAAATTGGGCAGAAAGTTATGATGGTTTTGTCCTGTACATCTGCTTGCAGTCAGCTGTCTTGGGCCTTACTGTGCAATGTCCCTGGGGTCTCCCAGTGTTTGTCTCCACAGATTTTCCTGTCCTCCAGGATCTTTCCTTACTTCCGGGACTGTTTCTCCAGCCAGGATCTTCGTCAGCCTTTTTTTTGGGCCCCTAAAGCCTTGATTTTTCCCAATCTAAGTGTGTATGCAGAAGTATGAAGTATGATATGCCTCCTAATTGGTGGCTCTGGTCTGTGTCTCTTTATTAATTGGACAAGTTGGGACACGTCAGCTTTGTTTAGTTGAGGTGTTAACAGAATTTAAAATGAGCACATAACAGCTGCAGCTAGCTAGTACCAGGCTTGAGCTCAGGAGTTCAGACATTCCT